GAGCAGGAACTCCTTGCTTCAGAGGACATGGAAGGAGGACTGGAGAGAGGAGAAGAAAGTCTGTTCGTGGTTGCATCGTCAGCCAAGATCTCTCCGTTCTTAACCTTGTCATTGTCAAGAAGGGTGAGAAGGATCTTCCTGGGCTTACCGATACCGAGAAGCCAAGGATGAGGGGACCCAAGAGAGCTTCCAAGATCCGTAAACTGTTTAACCTCACTAAGGATGATGATGTTAGGAAGTACGTCAACACTTACCGTCGCAAGTTCACAAACAAGAAAGGTAAGAGAGAGCCAAAACCATAATCTCGAGATTTTAGAATTATGGTCTCTTCTTACACATCTTTGGGGATTTTGGCAAACACAGGCAAGGAAGTGAGCAAAGCCCCCAAGATCCAGAGGCTTGTGACTCCGTTGACCCTTCAGAGGAAGAGAGCTAGAATCGCTGACAAGAAGAAGAGGATTGCTAAGGCTAACTCTGATGCTGCTGAGTACCAGAAGCTTCTTGCCTCAAGGTTGAAGGAACAGCGTGAGAAGAGGAGTGAGAGTTTGGCAAAGAAGAGGTCTAGACTCTCTTCTGCTGCTGCCAAGCCTTCCGTCACTGCTTAAGTTTGAGTATTTCTGTTCTAGTTTTGTTTTCTTTAAAAAAAAAAGTTATTTGGGAGTACACATTTCAGATGTTTCATCTGGTACAACCTCTACTTTAGACCCGTGTTTCTTGATTTATTCTTTGTTAGTTGAAAGACCATCTTAATACTCTCTTTTTGTTTCTCATTTTCCATTTATGGTCAAAGGTATACTAGATCATAGATTCATAGTTTGTCTATCTTTTTATAAATATTCATACATGATGCTCAACAATCTAAATGACTTGTCGGTTTTCTGAGAAGTACAGACAATTCACTCTTCAGTCGCAGGTTTCTACAATTTTAAAGACTTTGTTGAATAAGATCTGCTTATAATAAACTTCTTAATCCTTGATGTGAGTATAGTATACAAATTAAAATATGCAGTTTGTAACTCTATTGGTTCAGTGAGCCTTCTTATCAACAGGGGTGGTGGCGCAGTTGGCTAGCGCGTAGGTCTCATAGCTACTGAGTGATCCTGAGGTCGAGAGTTCGAGCCTCTCTCACCCCAAAGTTTTTTTGCAAACTAGTAACATGCGCATGCAAATGTTATTCATAACAAGTTTTGATTTATTGAGAAAAATATCTAACGACTGGATAGACGGCATTAGAGAATACACTCTGTAACCATTTGAATTCATAGTCTTGTTAGTTTAGTAAATTGTGAATGAAATTTAAGTCTCTCTCAATTCATTTATTGTAAAAATAGAAGAAGAGAAAGGGTCGACGTAGGATAGGAAGAGACAAATATCTCTTACTTATATCTTCCAACTTTCATTAAATCGCCTTGAAACCTTTTGAGGTTGTTGAAGTGATCGGAAATGGCAAACACGTCACTCTTCTCTCCGGCAAACCCACATTTCTTCCAGCCTCTTCTCTCCAGTTGCCATAGTCACCTCGTAAGCAATCTCTCTATGTCTTTGGTTAGTCTATATGAACGTAAAAATAGTCTAACGGTTCTGTTTTATCTGCTACAGAATATTCCCGTGAAGTTCTTCTCCGAGCACATAGAGGGAAAACACGAGGGCAAGACAATATTGCTGAGATCAGATGCGTTGGAGAAAACATGGGAAGTGAAGATGGAAGGTCAAAGACTCACTAAAGGTTGGAAGGAGTTTGTTAAGGCACATGATCTTCGAGTCGGTGACTTTGTTGTCTTTAGACACGAAGGAGACATGTTGTTCCATGTCACTGCTTTAGGACCAAGTTGCTGTGAGATCCAATATGCACCGTCTGGTAGCCGTGACGAATTCAAAGAAGAGAGTGATGAAACTGGTATGTAACTGCATCACTATTCATTGTGCATTTACGCTTCTTGATACTATTTCTATTCTTGAGACGTTTTATTATCTTGATTCAGAAAAATCTGACAAGGATGCTGAGATGAATCTGTCGACATGTTTTAGCCAATATATTACAACGTCTAACATGTCAAGAGATACAGTGGTTAGTTAGTTACTATATTAGCTTTTTGTTGTTATTGTGTTCAATATATAAGTTTATTTTACATGCAGTTTAAGTATGTGTGACGTGTTTATAAATACTTCAATTCAAATGCAATTTGATGATTGGTGCAGAGTCTACCCTCAGCTTTCGCAAAGCACAATGACTTGTACGAAGGATGTCAAAAGATATTTTTGATGAATGAAGATGGAAGATCATGGCCTTCAGAACTGAAGAAACTCGAGTCTGGTCGGACTGTTATAGTTCGTGGTTGGACAAATTTTTGTATTGAAAACAAGTTCCAAGTTGGAGATTCGTGGACATTCAAGTATCTCCAAAACGCAGAAACGCCTGTGTTTCAGCTCTACAGCCGCACAAAGGCAGAGCGTAAGAAGGAAACCCTGTCTAATATTGCTGGAGAAACCGATGCAAATCGGTTTGTGAAGTTAACTCCTACATTTAATAGTCTTAACCGAGGCAAACAGGTGAAGTTTGTACACATTTATCTCAAGTTTCTTTCATGCTTTGATTTTTTTTTTTAAATTATGAATCTTTTGTAGCATCTACCTCTAAGTTTCACGAGAGTGAACGGACTCATCAAGCCGGAAAAGTTAACTCTTGTGGATAAAAACGGAGATGAGTGGATAATGGAACTTAAGGTTGACAATAGAAATGGACTGATGTATATTAGGAGTGCTAATGGCTGGAAGAGTTTCTGTGCTGTGAATGAAGTAGGCCCAGAGGAGTCTCTAACTTTGGAGTTGATTCTAGGAGGCGTGTGTCCTTTGCTCAAGTTCTTCTCCAAGGTTATATTATGAAATTCAAATAACTTTCAGCCCACGTTTTAGGTTTTACTCGTTTGAAGTTGTTATATAACGACTTGTATCACAGATGGAGCAATCACCATTAGAAGCAGTAGAGGCTAGGGCGCACAAGCGAGCTAGAGTTCAAACATGCATCAATGAGACTATACCTAAGCTTGAGATAAGGGAGAAAACATCTGAAGAAGGAGAACCCTCTAAGCGCACTAGGGCATCTAACAAAACCATTGCTATTCAAGGAAACTTGCAAAAGACGCTACCTAGCTCTATCCAAGAGCAGATGATGGCTAAGGTGAAACATAGCGTTTTGTGTAGTTTAACTAGTATCAGACGGTTTAGAGAAGAGCTCAAGACAATGGAACAAAAACTAGAAGATTCATTGCAGGACACCAACAACTTAGGCAAGGATGTGTAACTTGATATGTTTCCTTATAATTTATCTTTTGTTCTAGTTTTCTAACAGTTCCATGATGAGACACAGAGAGGAGAAGACAAATGGAGTAAAACAACATCCTCAATAATCAAGTTTAAACATGGAGTTGAAGATCATCCACAGGCCTTAATCTTTTGTGAAGATTTGTTCAAGATAGTGTTGATTTTTTTTTGTAATCTATATAATAATGATTCACTTTTGAAGCTCCTAAGGCTATCCACATCAGCAGCCGAGTGGGTCCCACGTATTTAAATTTTAAAAGCTTATAGTTTTTTAAAAATGACTATGAACAATGAATACACTTTAGCACAGTGGTATAAGGCATCTAATGTAGTCTGCAAGTGTGTGGGTTCAAACCACATAACTGTTATGTATTTTAGTTTTTTCGTTTGGATTATTATCATATGGACTTTTTAGTTTTAATGTTTTTAAGTTTTTTTTCCTCTGGACTTATTGTTTAAAGCCCAAAATAGTGGAAAATCATAAAGCTTGACGAACTCAAACCCAAAACAATTAAAAATGGATCAAAAAATGAATATCCAAAAAAAAAGAATAAAAAACGAGTCTCACGCGGCACTATCATGTCCTAATATATATTTTTACTGTTATAACATATTTCCTAATATATATTTTCAAAACATTATGTATGTGAAATAAAATAAAATAAATATTTTTGTTATTTATAAAAGCGATGGATTTTTAATAATTACTATAATTTCATTTTTATCAGACTCCGGCGGATGAATTTCCACAGTCGATGACGCCGTAAAGAAAAATACCATATTATTCATGAACAAAATCCAAACTTACAAAAAAACATATCCAAACCTATCTATTTAAACCCAAACAACAAATATTAGCTTAAATTAAAGTTATTTTCAAATTGATAAATCGTTTAGTACAAATATAAATATTATAAATAAATATTTATATCAAGTTTTGACATCCGATATAAAAACTATTTCCAACATAAAATAAAAACAATATAGACATCTATTGTTATACACTAAAAACTATATTATAATTTAGTTATTCCTATAAACCTTATTTCGCATATAAATAACATTTAATACATTATATATGCAATTTTTCACTTTGCACTATTACTACATTCTTTCCATTTCATCATTATTTGGTATTATTAGAATAACACACTAAACCAACAACCGAAAAAAACACAGATCCCGGCCCCGCGCTTGCGCGGGGGTTATGCAGCTAGTGACAATAATTTGTACCCTCACTATTCGTGTGAATTTAGTTTTGTAAGAAGAAAAAAATATCCAAAGCCAAAAATAGAAATATAAATATGTAGAGGAATTAAGAAATAAAAATTAATACAAATTATCCAAAGCCAAAAATAGAAATATAAATGTAACTGATAAATAATTTGTAAGCTCACTACTCTTATGATTTAAGTTTTGTAAGAGGAAAAAAATTACCGAAAGCCAAAAATAGAAATATAAATATGTAGAGAATTAAGGAATTAAAAAATAATATAAATCATCGCAAGGGATAAATACATTCAGACAAAAAAAAACAAAAGCACTAAAGTCCAAACTTGCATAGGGAGAGGCCCAATCCAACATAGAACACTATCACTGTCTTCTCCACTAAGTAACAAACTCAATGAGGCGGTAACACAAAAAAAAAGAAAAGTGAAAATTTTCTTGGTTTTCGAACAAAAAAAACGCACAGAAGAAACTAGAAGAGAGATTGATGATTAAGAGAAGGGAGGTGTTTCTTTACTAATTTAGATGCATGAGGTTAGCTTCCCGTTGGATCTTTCTATCTTCACTCGCCTGATACCGACTCTATTCTTCCTCGCCGTCGGTGTCTTTTACTTCCTCAAAAACACCGCCGCTAAGTACTTCGATATCGGCGGTGCCGCCGCCGGCGGTTTCGACAGGGAAACCGTTGCTGCCGGTGCAGAGGATTGCTCTGTCTGTGGGAACTTCTGCACCACGAAATGCTCTCGCTGCAAATCTGATCGATACTGGTATGTATGTGCCCTTATTAACATCTTTATTGAGATTGTAGTCTTAGTCCATTGTTTAGTTCTTAGTACTGTTTTATTTGAGTTTGTGATAAAGTCTTGAGCTAAGAGTCATTGGTTTGGAACTTGCTGCTTAGATATTATGTGAACTTTAACTTATGTAAGTTTGATACTTTGCTTCACATTAGATGGGCTTGTGTTTTAAGTCGGTTTAGTGGATTTTTTCTGAATTGAGTTCTTTTGTCTCTATGTGGTCTTTGCTATCAGCTCAGCAGAGTGTCAGGCATCAGATTGGAGTTCAGGTCATCAAAGGAAGTGCAGGGACATTGGGATTACTACCTTAACACCATCTTCCAGAAATGGCCTGAGGTTCAGAGCTTCAACGTTCGGGGATCACAACAAGATCAGCGTCAAACCAGGAGAAGTAATGTTTCTCTCCTTTTGTTCTTCCTATCTTGACACTCTTTTGATTGAATGATTGAAAGTCTTGTACTTTTTGCATCTTCTGCAGGTTCTTTTCCCATATGAAGAGTTTGTTAGATATTTTAACTGGGAGAATGAAGAATTGGCTCCATGTGGGCTCATGAACTGTGGAAACAGGTTTGGTGTTCATCTGGTTGATTTGATTACTTTGATTCTGTTTTTCTTTTCTCCCTTTAATATATTTTTTTTTTTTTTTAATTTCTTTTAGTTGTTTTGCGAATGTGATTCTACAATGCCTGTCCTGGACACGTCCTCTTGTTGCATACCTACTAGAGAGAGGCCACAGGAGTGAATGTAAAGTTTCTATATTTTTTTTGCTAATCAATACTTCAAACTCCTCTTTATGCCCTTTTAACTTTTTATTCATATGTTTTGTTTGGCAGGTATGCGTGATGACTGGTGCTTCTTCTGTGAATTTGAAACTCATGTTGAGAGAGCAAGCCAAAGCCAGCTCCCTTTTTCACCGGTGAACATCATCTCACGGTTAACTAATATTGGTGGTACCCTTGGGTATGGGAGACAAGAGGATGCTCATGAGTTCATGAGGTCAGTATCTATTACTCATGAATATTAACTCATTCCAAGTCTGTGAATCGCTCAGCTGACAGGTTTAATATTCACATACTTCAGGTATGCAATCGATACGATGCAGTCTGCTTGTCTAGACGAATACGGTGGAGAAAAAATGGTGCCTCCTCGCTCTCAAGAAACAACACTTGTTCAGTATATATTTGGCGGTCTCCTCCAATCACAGGTTCAGTGTACTGTTTGCAATAATGTCTCTGAGCAATACGAGAATATGATGGATTTAACGGTTGAGATTCATGGAGATGCTGTGTCTCTTGAAGAATGTCTTGATCAGTTTACAGCCAAAGAGTGGCTTCAGGGTGATAACATGTATAAATGTGATAGGTAGGCCTTATATTTCCTAAGCAGAGTGTTACTTGATAAGTTGTGTGTGTTTCCTAAACCCTATAATATGCCAACTTTTCCAGGTGTAGTGACTATGTAAAGGCATGTAAGCGTCTTACAATCCGGCGCCCTCCAAATATTCTTACTATTGCCTTAAAAAGATTTAAGGTATCTCTTACATTCCCATTCCTCTTCCTCTTGCCAAAATTTTCTGAAGTGGTTGTGTTATAATAATAACACATCTGTGAGATTATGCAGGGAGGAAGATATGGAAAACTGAACAAAAGAATTAGTTTTCCTGAAACATTGGATCTTACACCTTACATGAGCCAAGGCGGAGAAGGATCAGATGTGTACACACTCTATGCAGTGATTGTCCATCTAGACATGTTGAATGCATCTTTCTTCGGCCATTACATATGCTACATTAAGGACTTTAGCGGAAACTGGTATAGAATAGATGATTCCGAGGTAACTTTCATTACTTTTCTCTCTTCTTATTTATATAACAGCCTATTATTATGTGGTAAAACTGTAACTTGATCTTGTAACCTTATTTGGATATACTCCACAGATAGAAAGTGTGGAACTGGAAGATGTTCTTTCTCAAAGAGCTTATATGCTTCTCTACAGCAGGTAACGTGTTTCTTCCTCTTGATTAGTTGAAAATATTAACTCATCTTTTTTGCTCAGCTATTTAGTTTGTTATATGCAGGATTCAAGCCCGGTCATCAGCATCATGTGCGAGTCTCAGGTCAGAAGTTCAAGAGGAGAAGGAAACAGACACATTGGTCACAAAATCTTGCCAACAAGAGTTAGTTGAGAGTTCAATGGTGGAAGCTATTGACACCAGTAGCAACGGCCATGCCACCATTGAAGACCTTGAAGGCGAACAAGAATCATCATCATCATCATTGTCGTCGTCATCATCAACTTCATCATCTTCGTCACCATCTATAGTGACCTCTGAATGTTATGCAGAGGATGAAAGGGCTGATACATCGGATTTTGATTCAAACCCTTGGATTGATGATGACTTTGCAACAGATCATCAAGAGGCTGTAACAAATGGGAAGATGGATCGAGAGGTAAAAAACAAGGCTGTCGATTCTCGTTCAGACGCTACAACTTCAGTTCCATCGGTTTGTTCAAAACCCCAACATCCGGTGAGAGATACAGACACTAAGATGATCGATGCTCAATAATGTGGAATGTTACATCATTTTGGAATCAACAGAGCTTCTAGTTTAAGTAGTAATGCAGATAACAATAATACCACTCAATGACTTATGGTGCAAAAGGTTGATTATAATATATATAGAGAGAGTTTTTAATGTTCTTACTGCTGAGTTTCCAAATTGTTTACCATACAAGACACATAATCATCAAGTAAATAAATATTTTGCTTGCCTAAACACTAAACAGAGACTTCTGACTCTTACCTAACTAGTTCATAACTAAACTTGTTAACATCTTGGATGCACATATGAGTATGTTGACCTTGGAGCAGAACTTAAACATTGAAAGAACTGTTGTGTCTTAGATACTAGTTATATTAGCTTAAGCACTCTGTTCACTTTAGCCTCCTGATTTGAGACACCATGCTTCGATCTACTCTCCTGTCACATTCTCTGAACTCGCGCTCTCTTGTGTTCTATAGCCTTTGTTTGAAATGGTGATTGCTCCATCTGAATACAAGTTCTTTGTTTAGTAACTTAACTCAAAGAAGCCAAAAACGAGGATTGCAAGTTTTATAGTGTACACACTTAACCTTGGAGCAAAACCTAAGCAATGGAATTCTCCCTCGTCGGATCAACTCCAGAGTTAGAGACTCTCCAGCGACTACTTCATTCGCTGCACAGAAACTTTTCCATCCCTTACCATCCATGATATACATAGTTCCACTGCTAATATCCTCCTTAAGTTTCATCGTCCACTCGACTTTGTATTTGTCTACCAATACTATCTCCCCTGGCCTGTTGAGCTTGTTCGCTCTCGTGAAATGTAATGACAGATTCTGCAAAGAGATCCAACATGACAAAAGAAGACAATACATTTGAAGAAAGCAATGACATGGGATGTTTTGAAAAACTCACCTGTTTACCAATCTCAAGGCTACTTGCTGAAGGAGTTACCTTAACAAACCTGGGTATTTCAGTTTTCTCAACAACATTATTTTCCTCTGACAGAGCTCTACTCTCCGTCTTGGGCCTCACCTTTGAGCGGTTACAGAGCTTAAACACAGGCGTTTCCGTGTTCTGGAGCAGTTTAAATTTGAAAGAGTCTCTAACTTTTAATTTACTTGCGGTGCAAAAACGTCTCCAGTTTCTACATATGAAAACCTGACCAGACCTCTTACACTTGACTTCTGATTCCCATGACTTTCCTTCTTGGTTCATCAACATTACCTTATGCCTCCCTTTGTTGAAACCATTTCGTCTTGCGAAATCTAAGGGCATATTCTGCATCAGTCATCAAATTCCCTTGGGGTTATTATTATAGACACTAACAGTGGAGGCGGACCTATTTGATATTAAGGGGGGGTCAAATGACACACCATAATATCTGATTTTCTCTTTATAGTTCATATGTGTTTTGGATTTTGAACTATGTTATCTTCATATTTGACACCTATTTGTATGTTTTTGACACATACTTTAAACAAAGTAACAATGAAGAAACTAACCACTACTCCATGTGATAGACTTCCAGCAGTCACAGTTTGGCTAAAACATGTTAGCTTCGAAGAAGATTCTTTCTCCCTTCTTGAAGATTCTCCTGAACCAGAAAATTAACGGTCACAAAAAAGTAAGTCTTTTTTTTTGGACAACTATAATAGTAGTCTAAATAAACGTAAATGATCATTGAATCATGATTTCATTATACCAAGTTCATCACTCTCTTCTTTGATTCCATTATAAACGTACTGGATCTCACAGAAACTTGATCCAAAAGCAGTGACATGGAACAACATGTCTCCTTCGTGTCTAAAGACAACAATGTCACCGACTCGAAGATTATGTGCCTTGGCGAACTCTCTCCAACCATCAGTGAGCATATCACCTTCCATCTTCACTATCCATGTTCTGTCGCAAGAATCTGATCTCAGTTTAACAGCCTTGTCCTCGTGTTTTCCCTTTATATGCTTGGAGAAGAACGTCACAGGAATTTTCTATAACAGAAACAAAAAAAAAACAGAACAATAAAAGGCTATCTATACGTTCATAGAGACTGAAGAAAGAGAAAAAGACAGAGAGGTTTTCGTACGAGGTGGCTCTGGAAACCATAAAGAAGAGGCTGGAAGAAATGAGGGTTTGCTGGTGGTAAGAGTGATGCATTCTCCATTGAAAACCACTTGTTCTTGGAGATTCACAGCAAGTCTCTGAAGCTCTCTTGAGTTGCTAAAAGAGTAGTTTGACTAAACTGTTCTCTCAGCTTTTCCACCAAACTTTACCGAGTCCCTATGTTTACTTTACGGTAAAAGTAATGTACACGTGGAAAAAATCTACAGACCGCATAATATTTGCTTCTCTTCGACTAATCAAATCAAATTAGGTTGATATGTTGTCAACTGTCAAGAGTCAAGACTAATTAAATCACTGAATCAGAACAAGAAGTAACTAAAACCACTTGCCGTTTAATGGTTACTAAGAGAAACTGCATGGCGTTTCTCCAAAAGGATTTTTAAAATATCTTTGATAGTTAATTAGTAATTAATGACAATGAATTAGGGAGTTAATTTCTGCAGAAACGTTAGAAAACGCACTAGTTTAACGCCGAGAAAGAAGAATTCAAAGGAATACTAACTTTCATTAGAAGAGTTTTACCAAAAAAATAACTTTCATTAAAAGAGTTCCTTTTTTTTTTTGGGCAAAGAGTTCCTTTAGAGTGTTTTATTGTTCAACAATGGTGGATCCAGTTATGGTCTCCTCAACCAACAAACCTATCTTCTTCATAGATTTATCTGGACAAAACTCCATTCCTGTAACCTTCTCTTGTAATCTCTATTAATGTTACAATGTATATCAATTGGTTTTTGTCTTTGCGTAACTGTTACTATTGTTGTTGTTGCTAGGTGATTCCGGACTCGTTTATTACCAATCACTTGAAGAGTAACACTCAGTCAAAGAAACTGAAACTGACTTCAGACGCTTCGGACAGAGCATGGGAAGTTGAGCTGGACGGGGGGAGATTCGCTCATGGATGGAAACATTTCTCTGTTCAACATGGTGTCCGAAACGACGACGTTTTGAGTTTCAGGCACGACGGGGACATGGTTTTCCACGTTACACCATTCGGACGTAGCTTCTCTCGTCAGATACAGTTCATCTCTTCTACATCCGAATATGAAAATGATGGTGATGATGATCATGATGATGAACATAATATTTTTGATGATGATGTTTATGATGAAGACGAGGAACATGCCGATGTTGTAGATGATGATGATGATGATTCGACATCGGTAGAGGAATTAAATCCAAATATAACTTTGTCCAAGGAGAGAGCAATAACAGAAGCAGAGTTTTCATCAGAAACTTCTTACTTTCTCGCGCACGTCACACCTTCAAACCTAAGCCGAAACCATATGGTTATTACTAATAACATTACCACTCTGTTATTTTGTTACTTACTATATATATCATCTAAGTTGTGTTTTTGGTTTTTTGTAGGGTCTTTCAAACAAATTTGCCAAGCCAAATGGTCTGTACAACAGACAATGTGAGATTGATTTACTCAACGAAGAAGGAAAAGCTTGGACACTGGAGCTTAAACACAACAAAACAGCTGGTCAAACTTATATGTGCAGAGGCTGGACAAGTTTCTGCAAAGAAAATGGGATCGGAGCCGGATCTTCTTGTCGATTTAAATTTGTCCAAACCGGAATCAAACCGGTGCTACAGTTGTGTCTCAGTACCTCTACCATTCTACCACAAGGAAACTCTTCCAAAGCACTTGATGTTCCTGAAACTGAGAATTGTTCAGAGACTGCTCAAATGAATCAGAACAGGGCTATGGTATTAGAGTTTAAACCTTACATGTTAAGGACAGGTCAACTTGTAAGTTCTTCTAGTTAAAGCCTTTTATTTTATTTTATGTTTGTTATTGAACTCAAATGGGTTGGTTTTGAAACTTTGTATATAGCACATACCTGCAGTATTTTCAAGAGAGAATGGGATCAATGAAGCAGGAGAGGTAACTGTAGTGAATAATTACGGTGTAGAGTGGAAGTTATATCTAGCTAGCATCAAGGGACGTGGACAGTTTTACATTAGAGGTTTTAAAGATTGCTTTGTAGCCAATGGCATAAAGAAAATTGGTGAATCCTTCACACTTGACTTTATCCGAGGAGGAACTAATCCTATTCTCAAGATCTATTCCAAGGTTAACACCAAATCAATTAGTCTTAGCATTTTTAGTTATTGTCTATAAGTTTGTTAAAAAAATGTGTTCATATAAAGGAAGCATCACTTGATGGTAATCAGACTACAAATAGGAGACGTTCAAGATCGATACAAGCACCAAGAGCTGAAGAAGAGATGGAGACTAGGGTCCAAAAGAAAGGTCGAGTTTCTGGAGAAGGAGGATCATCTCGCCGTACTAGGGCATCAAACAAATTAAGTGTTGGTCCAGCAAACTTGCAGCACAAGAAATCACTTGAACCTTGCTCAATCTCTGATCAAGTAGGAAAGGTGAGACAGAGTATTGTGCACGCTTTAACTGATGTAAGACAGTTTCGGTCGGAGCTGGAAATAAAGGAACAAAATCTAGAAACTTCGCTGCTGGAAATTGATGCTCTAGGTATATGATCTGCCTAACACATAAACAGTATGTATGTTAATGTTATATTTTGGTTATAGTTTTTTTTTTTTTTTTAATAGGGGAGAAGATACAGGGGATCAGCAAATTCTTCAACGTTAATCAAGTCTAGGGCGGAGGATATCAAGATCATAATATGGAAATTGGACTTTTGATACGATTTACTTCTTTTTTTTGTTTGATCGAAGATAACGATTTACATTTCCTTCCTTTTCGTTTCCACTCATATGAGTTTTTTTAGTAATAAAAATATTTTCTGCTAATTTCATAGAGTTTTCTATTTCATATCAGGCGTGATAAAAGAAACTTGTATTTCCAGTCGATTTTCTTACGTTTACGAGGTTGCTATTACATCTCCATTTATTTTCGAAATGACAGACGACAATGATGTACCTACAAACAGTACTCACATTATTCTGTTTGCATTATTACTTTATATAGATATAAAAATTAATTCATAAATACACTTTGTTTTAATTATTAACTTTTGTTGCAGTAATTCCCGAGGCTTTTTTGCCGCTCACTTTTTTTTGGGACAATTGCCACTCACTTGATTAGAAGGTAAAATGAGTTAACGAAACTAACTCATTTATTGCAGTAAAATTAATATGCATGTATTGCAGATAAACGTCATTGTCGCTGTCGATGCCATACAATCAGACTCATAGTCTTTTTGATATTTTCTTTGTATTCACTATTCACTATTAAATATGTAGAAAAATCAAAAATATTAAAATATTTAATGATTTGTCTGCAAAACATTTATGTATAAAAAATTGTACTGTATAAAAAAAAGAAAAAGTAGCTGACCAAATACAAATGGCCAATGAGATGATTTCATTTTTTTGTCTTTAAATAATAAACACAATTTTATTTATATGTATAAAGAAAAATTCTCTCAAATACTAAATTTTTAGTTTTTTGTGTTTTCATATATAATATAAAAATCCATATTTAGTAATTTTATGAAATTTTCAGATATGTAAAATGATTATATATAAACTTGGAAATTATTTTCATAAATAATTATATACATTTACTTGACATATTTATATTGCAAACGAATTAAATTTATAGGGACATGGAAAAAAACTAGACTGATTTCTTATTGCTTTGTTCCAATGTTTTGGACTATGATAGCAAATCCAACATTAACATTTATTACATGGAGTACAGGCTTTTCCTTCTTCTCACCAAAGCCGTGCTTACAGTGTTTTGAAAGAGGCAATGGCCTCGGAACCCGTAATATGTATCAGGAGGGCCCCGTTTTCAGCTTTAGCCGGTTTAGAACATGATTAATTGAAAATTCTTAAAATAAAATTTTTAGGACAATATAAAAAATTGTCTTTAGTTTTTAAATAAAATTAAAAGCCGATTTTAAATATCTTATTTAGAATTCAGTCTTAGTTTTTTAATATATTTTATTAAAATAGAACTATTGTTTTTATTTACGTATAAATAATCTATTAAATAAAATTATTTATCTACAATCCTAACAAATATAAATATCATGTAACAATATAACCTTATTTTATTTAATTCTTAAAAATAATATCTATTTTTATTGTTTTTATATTTGTACATAAGATGATATTGGCTTCACATTGTATACTTGACATATATAATACGTGTATATAATACAAATATATTTTACTTAATATATATTTTAACTGTGATGTGTATTAGAAAAATACATACTATTATTCATTTATATTATAAATAATCTAATTAAAAATGATCTTTTCAAAACATAGTAAACATGTAATGTATATTAGAAAATTACATACTATTATACATACATATTATAATTAATCTAATAATATATAATTATAGATTATTTAATATATTTCAAATATTTCAAAATAATAACATCATCTACATATATATGATAAAATACAATTTCATTAGAAATTATATTTATAAAATAAGTTTAGTTAAAAATTAAGAGAAGTTTTTTTTCATATTCCATTAAGAACCATATTCTAAGAATCTTCCATTAATTATGCTTTTAGGCTATATTTATTAGAGGTTTTTAAATGGAATTCCTAATTTCGATTAAGTTATTTTTTATTTTTAATTAAAAAAAATAAAAATCAGCTCTTAAATATATAAGAATCGACTCTTATTTAAAAATTTGAAAAGAAAAAAATGAAAAAGTATTAAATCATTAGTTAATAATTTTAGCCTAAAAATTTATAATAAACATGTTCTTAGTCTCTTTAAATATTAGTGATATTTGTTGAACTAAATAATTTACTTAGCATATCTGACCCCAAAAAAAGCTTACCATAAAGTTATATGGGTTATTACTGGTTAAGAAATTTAATAGTCATTTTAACCCTTCTAGTCTATGCAGTTTTATAATAAATTTATATTGTTTTGTTAGCTTTTATTCTTTTAAAACTTTCATATTTTTCTGTTTGAATTAAATTTATTTATTTGGCAAGAAAGTCATCAAATATTTACACAACTTAGCTAAATTTTCTAATACTGAATGATTAATATCTTATTAACTTAGTTATCTAGTCATTTTAACCCTTCTAGTCTATGCAGTTTTATAATAAATTTATATTGTTTTGTTAGCTTTTATTCTTTTAAAACTTTCATATTTTTCTGTTTGAATTAAATTTATTTATTTGGCAAGAAAGTCATCAAATATTTACACAACTTAGCTAAATTTTCTAATACTGAATGATTAATATCTTATTAACTTAGTTATCATATAGTCTTCAAAAAATACATAGCTTTCTATAACACTACTAAATCCTACATAAGATTATTCATACTTATTTGTCAACAAGGAGTTGTAGAACATTATCATAATTTTTTCAGTCTTATATAATAACTACGATAAGTATATATTTGCCTTAGACCCCTATCACTAAGTGAGGTTATTACCACCACACTCAGTCACCAATAACTAGCTATATAATATAGATACACGCTTTCTCCTTCGTCTCACCCCTCTCTCTCTAAACCTAGATTATTTACCTGCACGCCTTCTCTTTCATCTTCTTTGCATAATCCCATCTCCAACAGAACCAAGAAAAAAAAGGGAAACCAAGTTAACCTCCTTCCTCAAAAATGGCCGATTTGTCGTCTTCTTCAAACCACAAACTACCTTCATTTGTGGTTTCTCTAGCCAGCTGTGACTCTTATCCAGTAATCTCCTACAACTTATTTTGTTTATTTTTTTTGTTTGTAATAGATTTTTGTCTCTCATTATTGTTGTCACAGAGTATTCCGGATGAGTTTCTTTCCAACTACTTGAAAGATAAGGATGACTTGGCGAAAGTCAAGTTAATAACTGACGCTGACGACAAAACATGGTATGTCACGTTGATTGGCGGGAAGGTCGCCGGCGGCTGGGAAGAGTTCTCCGCCGCTCACCGTCTTAGAAAAGACGACGACCTGATTTTCAGAGTCGTCGGACCTTTACTCTTCCACATCCAACCGTCCGGAAGATCCTTCAGTCACATACTATCTGACGATGGTGAAAGTGTTGACAGTGTCGACAATACTCCACAAAGAATCTGTTCCAAAGCTAAAGTTTCGACAAGACCTAACAGGAAAAATAAGAGATCTTCTATGATCTCGAGCAGCTTCATGAAAACCTTGAAGCCTTACATGCGCATGTCAAGACAACTTGTAAGTTTTTCCAACATTTTTAGGTTTTATTGTTAACTTTATTTTTTTATAATATTCCTTGTATATTTTAGTTTTTTCGTTGATAAAACACATAGTAAATTCATATTTTTTTGTGATTATCATTTTCATATAAATTTAATGGCATTTTCAACTCTACTCTATTTTTCACAATAGATTTTTAGATTAAAAGTGTTCCAATGGTATTTTATATCTCATGAAAAATTGGTTTATTCTAAATATAATTTGTTTTTTTTTTTTCATCATTCTACTTTTCATTTTGAAATAGAGCTCCATTGGTTTAAACCAGTAAGAATTTAATTAAGTTTTTCAAAAATTGTAATTAATCATTATTATTTGACAAAATATTTGGAAAATATAAAAAAATGTATTTTTTTGAAACAAAGATTTTTTTCTACAATATGTAAAGGAAGTATATTTATAAATAAAACGTTGACCGAAGTCACACAGTTTAAACATCTAATAAAAAGCATGATGAGGCAATATTATACTTTATGGATGCATGGTTTAAACTTTTGCAGTATTTCCCAAGGGCTTTTGCGAGGAAGAACGAAATTACGAAAGGTTTAGAGATAACTCTGGTGGACAAAAATGGAGGAAGGAGACCGTCGCATGTAGTTTCATCGAAGGTAAAAGGAGAGTTTTATTTGGCAAAAGGGTGGCTAAAGTGTTGTGAAGCAAGTGGGATAAGTACTGGAGAGACCTTCACGTTGAAGTATGTTCGAGAAGAAGGCAAAACTCCTACGCTTCAGTTTTTCTCCAAAGGCAAGACCAAGGTGAACAAATAAACAAAACTATTGGTATATAAAAGTTCTTGCTTTGCTATGTTACTTAAGGTGTTGTGTTTAATGCAAAACTCATACGCTTCAGTATTCAGCAATGAACTGTTCCACTTGATGAGACTCTGTTGGAAGTGGTTGCTTGCACTGCAGGTTATCTGGATGAACAGTTGATCTGTGTGATGCTCGAGTTCGGCGAGAGGGTTCTCCTCCTGCAGAAAGCTCGGGTTTCTGCAGGTCCTGCAGAAAGCTCGGGTTTCTGCAGGAGGAGAACCCTCTCGCCGAACTCGAGCATCACACAGATCAACTGTTCATCCAGATAACCTGCAGTGCAAGCAACCACTTCCAACGAGCATCACACAGATCAACTGTTCATCAAGTGAAACAGTTCATTGCCGACGCTTTAGCTGATACGAGACGGCTTAGGTCGGAACTTGATATAAAGGAACAGAAACTTGAAGCACTGCTGGAGTTAATTTGATTGAGAACATTGATGAACCAACTCTTCTATCTTTTTTTGCTATTCTGGTTTTACGTTTCTAACTTTTTGATGTTGGAATAAAGGGGGTAGAGAGTATCGGAAAATCACTAAATTTTTCAAGTAATCGTTAGGCTTAAATGTCTTGTATTTGAAGTTCAAGAAATTGAACATGGACTCGTGTAAACTTTGTATGTTTTGCATCTGAAACTTGTTCAACGATCAAAGACAAAAAAGTTTCAGTAGATAATATTTTATTTTCAGATACTTTAAAACCTAATATATATTTGCTACCAAGGCCAAAGTGATTACAAAGAATGGTCTCCTCCCCTCTTAACAATAGTTGATTGGTGATTGATCTGCTAAGCGAAGATGGAAAATGATAGTTGGTTGGTGATTGATCTTGTATTTATTTTTTGCTATCTCTTGTTTTACTACGTTCGTAATGTTGGAAATAAACACGGGATGAAGAATCGGGAATCAAGCTTAAAAATATTAGACTCAAGATCAAGAAAAGTTGTCCAAACTCCATAATTAATACTGTGCATAAATATGACGTTGGTTAAAAAAAACAGAGAAAAAAAAATCTGAAAAGGCACTGGATTCGTATCTAATATATCTGAACAAGTGCAGTGATTTGGACCCTTGTGATTAGACTTCCTGAAGAACAGAGACACGTCTTGAAAATAGTGATAATGTTCTAGTAAAAAAGCTAAACGTATCACATAATAATTTATATCATATCTTAAGAAGAATATATTACTCTTTTTATCTGACCAAAGAAGAATATATATATATATATTTTTTTGAATATATTACTCTTTGTAAATTAGTTACTGAGAAGAAAATAAACGTCGGAGATTATATGAGCTCTTCAACAATGATGGGTCCATGCCACCTTTTGGCAAAGAAGAAATCAAGATTAAAACAGAGTCGTCTTCATCTGAAAACTCTTGTATTGTCGGCGTCACGAGTTCTAATCTACGCCTAAACCGAGTGGTTAGTAGTACTTATAACTCAACCTCTTTAAGAGTATTTTGGAGTCCTATACATGTAAACCTTGAAACTGTGTGTTTTTTTTTATTTGCTTGTTTGTCAAGAATCTCACAAAAAGGTTCACAATAGCAAATGGTCTGCACAAGAGTTGGTGTGAGATTGATCTGATGAATCAAACTGGCAAATCATGGGTTGTGCATCTGCGATACAACAAAAGGACTGGTCAGGAATTTCTACGTGGAGGCTGGAGAAGTTTCTGCCATGACAACGAGCTGAAAACCGGATGTTTCTACCGGTTTGAACTTGTCCTAACTGGGACAAGACCTGCGCTACAGTTGTGTTCAGACAATACTCCACAAGGAAACTGTGCAAAAGCAAACTGTGCAAAAGCTTCTTTTTTTTTTTTTTTTTTAAGTCAAAAAAAAAAAAAAGCAAATGGAAAAGCTAAAGTTTCGGCTAAACCTAGCAGGGAAGGTGATAGATCCAGAAAGAAAGCTAGGGTTCCGCAGGAGAACCCTCTCGCCACACTCAGGCATCACAAAAATCTACTGTAGATCAAGAAAACTTGCAGTGCAAGCAACCACTTCAAACAATCTCTCATAAAGTGAAAAAGAGTATTGTGAACGTTTTAGCTGATGTAAGACGGTTCCGGTCTGAGCTTGAGATAAAGAAACAAAATTTAGAAGCTGTGCTGGAAAAGATTGATGTGTTAGGTATGATTTAAACATGATGAACACTTGTATCTCTTGTGCTATGCTGGTTTTGCGTTTCTAACATTTTGATGTTGGAATAAACAGGGGATAAAATATCCGAAATCAACAAATTAATTCTTCAAGCAGTCATTAGGCTTTAAACGTATTTTGAAGATCAAGAAAGTGAACATGGACTTGTGTAAACTTTGTTTTATAGTTTGTTGCTACTAAATACAAATTGAAGGCTATCTATTATCTGAACACTTGTATTTATTTTGAAATTAAGCTTAAAAGTATTGGACTCAAGATCAAGAAAAGTTGTCCAAATTTTGTTTGTCTTGTATTGGACTTTTATTAATTATGGAGTATTCCTTTTATATCTAAGAAATACACATCTTCGTCTTAATTATTGATACCATTTAGATTAAAGAGAGTTATCTTTATAATCAGAGTAAGACTTCTTAACTACTGACTTGATGGAGACTTCGCACCCGGAGATTCAGAGGACTCCAAGTCAGTGACGTCATACGGGGGCGCAGGCAGTGCCAAGACTATGGTGGATGATTGATCGTTAGGAGGGAGATCAGAGTGAGGATGACCAGTAGTTTGGTTGTTATCTTCTTTTGAGTACATTTTAACATGAGGAGCCACGTCGTTTTCAGGAGTTACTGGAGTGACTTCCTCCTCCATCTCGTACACGCGCCCACTCAGATTCGCATCACTGTCTTTCACCGCGACATTGACGAGGTATCCCCCGTGGAAACGTCCTTCCACCCTACCATAAACCCTCTGACCAACCTGCAGATCATCGTCCGTGTTCGGATGATCTCCCTCTATCTTCTCCACGGGATCATTTGCAACAGGAGGAGCTGAACTTGAGGAGCCTTGGTTCAACGGATTCATTCTACAGAGAACAACAACAACAACAAACAAATAATTAAATAGAAGAAAGACAAAACATTATAATTTGTTACATATTTATTATAGAACTTATTTGAGACAATATTAGAATCATACTAGAAACCGAAGGATCAATATATCCATGGACTCTGAAATGAGCATAACAAAGTATAAAAATGAAATGAAGATTATAATCACTAAACAACGAAATTTTAAGAAAAAACGTACTTATTTTCTCTTGCGGTGGTTTCTGTGATGTTTGCTGAAGTACGCACTCCTTTGGTCCTTCCTATTTATAACCATCGTATTTTTACTAGTGACTTATAATCGAGCACTTTATTAAAGTGATAATCGAGCACTTTATTAAAGTTATAAGAAATTCTTAATGCCAAGGAAGTTTGTTAAATAAATACAAAACTTGGTTGCACTTCTCTGTCACTTCATTCACCTCGTGCGTCATCTACCATTCTTTTGTTTACTTTTTACTTTTTGGAGTATGAAGGTGACAAACTAATCGTATAATCACCTAATATGTTGCCAACAACAATTCAAACTTAGAAACAAATTTTAAACATAGATATTTTGATTTAATTTTAATTATAGGATGCTTACTGCTTTTTAGATACATTATAAAAAAAAACCTAGAATATACATAAATACATATGATAGTATAAACAATATAAATGCATATGATATTATAGACCATTCTAAAAGTCGAGACAATTATATTTAAGTTTTCTTTGATATTGAATTTTACCACAACAATGCATGTAATTGTAATCATATCATCATCATTTGTCACATGAACATCCAAGTGCCATAATTATAAACAAAAATAATCGAAAATTCACCCAAATTACATACAAGTAAGGCAACCAAGCACTCTCTCGCTGTGGTCTTGAATGATTTTAAGGGTTTATTCAATCATCCTCAACCTCCATGTGTATGCTTATACGACTACCAAGCGAGCTTGAGTCAAAAGCTCCAGCCCTCATAAAAGCTCATTGCGTGATGGAGAAGTCAGCTTTCGATAGATAACGTGTCTTTCTTGCCAAAATGTATAAGCACTGATGTAGCCAACTCTTAATTAAACCGAAAGTTCCAACGCACAATGCATTCTAAATCATGTGTATCTCTGAACGCACAATGAACACGTGTTTTTTTTTTTTTTTGCTATGCTGGTTTTGCGTTTCTAACATTTTGACGTTGAAATAAACAAGGGATAAAAAGTATCGGAAATCAAAAAATTCTTTAAGTATTCATTAGGCTTTAAACTTATTTTGAAGATCAAGAAATTGAACATGGACTTGTGTAAACTTTGTTTGATATTTATTGTTACTAATACAAGATTGAAGGGTATCATCTGAACACTTGTATTTATTTTGCTATTTCTTGTTTTACGTTCCTAATGTTGGAAATAAACAGGAGAGGAAGAATCAGGAATATCAAGCTTAAAGAACAAAACTTACCTTCACCCCCTAAGGTGAATGGTACAATTCACCCCTTTTCCCTACACCAATTAAACTTCCACATAGGATTAGTAGAAAAAAGGCAATTATAATTAAAAGGAAAAAATAAAAAAGTTTGACAAAAAAAAAAATAACTAACGTAAGAAGCCGCCGTCGTTAACTTACCTTCTTCTTCATCCATCGATTTTTTTTTTTCAGACTCCCATATAATTCTTCTCTTAACTTACAGGTGCCAATCACTCAATTAACATAATTAGCATCAAGTCTAAGTTTTTTTGTTATATATATCTCTTGATCATGTATCTCTTTAGCAAAAAAAATTATAGTTATAAACTTAGGGTTACTAGGTCTTCTTTAATCATGTCTATGTATGATCATATTTGATTCCTTTTTAGATCTTCTGACTATCACGTTTATGTGTAAACATAGCAATAAAGAGATTGAATCAATTAGGTATGTTATGCTTTTGTTGCTTTATTTAACTATTGTTTGTATTTTTTATATAGTTGCAATGGAGAGTCATCATTTAAGTGGTGAAGAAAATGTTCCTACTAGCCAAGATGATTGTAGTTTGCAAGTCTCAGGTGAAACCAGTTTGTTAAATCAGAATTCAGATGAGCTTTTAGTAGAGGAAAAATATGCTCCAGTCAGCGATGGCGATGCTTCAGTCAGCGATGACAATGCTTCAGCCGATGATATCAGTGAAAAAAAAGACATAAGCAACAATGAGGATTATCTTCAGATTGAAGATGTTGATGCTTTAGAGGCAAACAATGAAAATCAGAATAACCATGAGCTCTCTATTGGAATGGATTTTAGTGATGATGAGTCTGCATATAAAGCTTACAGAAAATATGGGGGCAGTCATGGTTTCGATGTAAGGAGACAGCGGACTGCGAAAAAAAACAATGAGCTAGTAAGGATGGTTTATGTATGCTCAAGAGAGGGGTTTAAGCAAGAACCAAAGGTCAAGATATCGTATTCACGACCAACCACAAGGTGTGGTTGTAAAGCTCGCATGTCTTGCTATCTTCAGAGTAACGGAAGATATAAGATTGTAACTTTTGAGCCGAACCATAACCATGATTTAGTGAGGACACCTATGAAGCATTTTCTGAAGAGTAACCGAGCAATCTCTATCTCTCAAAAACAACATGCTGATGATGCTGATATGTCAGGAATTTCAGCAAAAGCAACCGTTGAAATGATGAGCAGAGAAGTTGGGGGGCAAGCAAATCTGGGTTTTATGGATAAAGACCTGAAAAACTACATATACCGTAAGCGAATGTCAGTAATGGAAAAGGGAGATGCTGGAGCTGTTTTGGAGTACTTTCAGAAAAAGAAAGAGGATAATGCATCTTTTTTTTACTCAATGCAACTTGATGAAGACGATATGATCACTAATATCTTTTGGGCGGATGATCGGTCAATTAGTGATTACAATCTCTTTGGGGATGTTGTTTGCTTTGATACAACTTACAAGACCAACGAATATGATAGACCTTTTGCTCCGTTTGTCGGTGTCAATCATCATAAGCAAACTATCGTGTTTGGTGCTGCTCTCTTATATGATGAAACCACAAAGTCTTTTGAGTGGCTATTTCAGACTTTTCTTGGAGCAATGTCTGGAAAACAACCGCAAACAATTCTTACAGACCAATGTGCAGCAATGGCAAATGCAATAGGGAAAGTGTTCCCTGAAACAAAACATAGGTTATGTGTTTGGCATATTTACCAAAATGCTGCAAAGAGGTTGAGTCGTGTATTTCATGGACCTAATCAGTTTGCCACAGACTTTGGAAAATGTGTGGATGACCATGAGAATGAAGTAGAGTGGTTATCGGCATGGAGTGAAATGCTCGAAAAGCATGGATTGACCGAGAATAAATGGTTGAAGGATTTGTTTGAGTTAAGGGAAAAATGGGCAAGGGTATATGGTCGCCATAGTTTTACAGCTGATATGATGAGCACACAGCGTAGTGAAAGTATGAATAATATTTTGAAAAAATACTTGAAGCGCGGTTATAACTTGTTGCGCTTCTTTAAACACAATGAGAGAGTGTTGGATGATCGGCGATTTAAAGAATTAACTGCTGACTTCGGCATGATGCATACCTCACCAGTCTTATCGGCTCCTGTAGAAATGTTGCAACATGCAGTGGACGTGTATACACCAGAAGTCTTTGCCTTGTTCCAGAAGGATTACACAGCTATTGGTGATTATGTTGCCAAAAGGGTCAATAAGTCTGAGATGGTAAGTGCTGAATATAATGTATCTTTTCGTGGTGTTGGGAGGAATCATTTGGTTGGTTATGTTGCTGGAGAAGAAACGATACATTGTAGTTGTATGAAGTTTTCTTTTGCTGGAATCTTATGTCGTCATGCGTTAAAAGTTTTGGCCAAGAAGGATGTTAGAAGAATTCCACCTGCCTACATTCTGAATCGATGGAGTAAAGAGGCTAAAGCACGAACCATATCTTTTTATCATTCAGCGACACCTAATGATACAGTGAAGGAATCAATAGGAAAGCGATATAGTCATATATGCCGTACTTTCCGGGAGATAGCATCTGTTGCTGCTGAGCATATAGAACTGACGGACTGTGCAGATGAAGCTGCCTTTCAGCTGCTTGACAAACTGAAGGAAAAGAAAAAGGAACTTGTGAAAGCTGAGAAATGGATACTCCCTGCTTCTGATTTTGAACTTGTGGAAGAAGAAGAAGTTCTAAATCCACGTGGAATAAAAAGAAAAAACCCTCCTGGACGACCAAAGAACCAAAAAGTCGGACGCCATGGTCGATATTTGAGTGTGCTTGAAACGAAAAATCATGTTACATCAAAATCATCCAACAATGGTACAGCAAAAAAGAAGTTGTCGTTTCAGGTATTTGACATATTTTTTTTGTTTGTTTGTCCAATATTCATTGAATATTGGGACTTAATCAATGTATATATTTCAGGACTCCAGTCTTCCTTCTGATACCCAGTTACCTGTTTCTGCCACTAATCTGATCTCGTACAATGAGCCTTCTTTTTCACAACTGCTCGAGGTTAATACTTCATTTTAATACTATTTAAATTTGAGTTATAAATTATTTTCTTAATTATTTTATGTTACATATTTTGTAGGGATTTGACAAGAATCATGGTGGATTATCGTAATACTCTACTATTTTAAATGTGAAAGCAAACGTTAATTATGTTTTTGTTTTCGTTCTTACTTTTGGTGTTTCTACTTTCTAGCATATTCTTGTTTTTACACTTATTATTATTTTCAAAAACTTAAGGCTATATTCCGCTTCAACCTCTCGAACCTTTAGCAAAGCACACACAATGTCTCAACACTTCGTAGACTGTTGTATTCTTATATCTCCAAACAAAATAAACTAAACATAAGAATAGAAAGAAATACACTGAGATTGATGTTGGAATATTAGAACAAAGATGTTTAAGTTTAGCAATGTGCACAAGACTCTGTTTTTGTTTACTCACTTACTCTCTGTTTTTGTTCTCACACTCACGCTTATTCACATAATACTCATATTTCTACAAAAGGAACCAGAGTTTGTGTAACCTAAAACCGAAATATTGTTCATCTCAACCAAAAGACTATAAAACATATCATCAGTACACACACATACACAAACACATCGTATCTTTATTTAGTTAAAATTCAAATACAAAAATAAAAAATATATCTTAGGCACAAACACAAGGTTGGGCCAGGGTGTGTATTATACTGAAAAATATCATAACCAAATACAAGAATAACATGGTGATTGCCAAAATTATCTGACAGAAAGCACAAACCCGAGAAGAGAAGCTGCATACGTGTTATTGAAGTAATGTCTCCAGAGAGGTCTAATTTTTTCTTGGCCACCAACATCCAAAACCGTGAACATCACATTCTTGTACTCAACTTTCTCAACGTCAGCCTTAGAGTGGAGGGGTCATATATTTGAGCTTATATTCTTTCCAGCATTTAGCACCTGAATCCAAACCAAGTTGCTCACTTTTATATAAATATCAAATCATTCTCTATTAAAAGAAAAGCTTAGGTTGCTCCCTTCAATCCCACTCAAGCTCTGCAATTTATTGTCCACAGCCGACAGCCACTTCAGATTCAGACAAACAATCCTTGAGTCCCTAAAACTGACAAAACATGATCATAAGCTTCAAAAAGCCTTAAACTAATATTCAAGTAAACTCTGTTCTCAGCTTTCACAAGCCCCAATATCACCGATTAGGGTTTTTCGTTTCAATTTGGGAACAGAGTTTGTAGAAAAGATAAAATCATGTTGGTGAGAGTTCTGTGGCCGAGATTAAATTCCTAGACGGAATTGAGGTCTTGGGTTTTAACAGAGAAATTAGATGAAGAATGATCTGGGAGTCCATGGGAAGAAGAAAGAGTCGGTAACGAAGAAGAAGAAGTTAACGACGGCTTGTCGTTAATTCTTTTTTTTGTCAAACTTTTTTTTTTTTTTTTTTTTTTTTTTTTGAATGAATGTTAAATTTATTCAAGACAAAAAAAACACTTTTTTACAAAGAATGTGCCATTGTTTTAAGGAAACTTTGAAAAGTTTGGACTACTCTAAAAAACTCTCTTCTTCTCTTGAAGCTCTCTCATCTTGTTGAGAACCAAATTCCCATAGCTTTACTGTAGTTTCCATTTGCACAACCTCGTAGAGAGTCTATGCGATTGCGGACTTGTTTATCGATATACTTGACGAGATGAGCCGAGGTTGTTGAAGCTTCACCATGTCTCCTGCCATTTCTCTCCTTTTAATTATAATTGCCTTTTTTATTTTTTCCTTTTAATTATAATTGCCTTTTTTTTACTAATCCTATGTGGAAGTTTAATTGGTTTAGGAAAAAGGGGTGAATTGTACCATTCACCTTAGGGGGTGAAGGTAAGTTTTGTTCTTTTTTTTACTAATCCTATGTGGAAGTTTAATTGGTTTAGGAAAAAGGGGTGAATTGTACCATTCACCTTAGGGGGTGAAGGTAAGTTTTGTTCAAGCTTAAAAGTATTGGACTCAAGATCAAGAAAAGTTGTCCAAATTTTGTTTGTCTTATATATTGGATTTTATTAATTATGGAGTATTCCTTTTATATCTAAGAAATACACATCCTCTTCTTTATTATCGATACCATTTAGATTAGTGAGAGTTATCTTTTTAACCACATTAAGAGTTCTTAACTACTAACTTGATGGACCTGCTTCTTCTTCCACGCCTTTGCTCTGATAAATCACTAGAGCCTTCTCACCCGCAGATTCAGAGATCTCCACGTCAGTGACATCATCTGTCATTGGTTGATCATTAGGAGTTTGATCAGAGTGAGGATGACCAGTTTGGTTGTTATCTTCTTTTGAGTACATTTTAACATGAGGAGCCACGTCGTTTTCAGGAGTTACTGGAGCGACTTTCCCCTTCAGGAACACGACACCTCTCAGGTTCGTGTCACTGTCTTTCACCTTGACATTGAGGATGTATCCCGCGTCGATAGATCTTTCCACCACACCATAAACCGTCTGACCAATCAGATCAACGTCCGTGTTTGTAGTCACTCTTTGAGATTTTTCTTTGCGCGGACGACCTCTCTTTTTCTTCTCCACGACATCATTTGCAACAACAGGATGAGATGAGCTTGGAGGGATTTGATTCAACGGTTCTACACTACAGAGAACAACAAACAAATAATTAAATAGGACAATATATTGAAACAAAGACAAATCATTCTATAGGGTTTCACACGTATTCAATCTAATTTGTTACATATTTATTATGGAACTTATTTAAGACCATATTAGAATCATAGTAGTGATGACAGAAAAAAAAAGAATCATAGTATAAACCAAAGGATCCATTGATTATCGTCCGTGTTCGGATGATCTCTCTCTGTCTTCTCCACGACCACGAGATCATTTGCAACAGGAGGAGCTGAACTTGAGGAGCCTTGGTTCAACGGATTCATTCTACAGAGAACAACAACAAACAAACAAATAATTAAATAGAACAATTAAAGCTCTTCTATTGAATAAAGACAAAACAGTCTATAGCTTTTCACCTCAATCTAGTTTGTTACATATTTATTATGGAACTTATTTAAGACCATATTAGAATCATAGTAGCGATGACAGAAAAACAAAAAAGAGTAATAGTGTAAACCTAAGAGTCATATATAGTATAACAAATGAAATGAAGATTAAAATAAAGAAAAAACGTACTTGATCTGTTGCGGTGTTTTCTGTGATGTTTCGTTAAGTACCTACTCCTTGCTATTTATAAGCAAGTAATGGGGATTTTTACTAGAGACTTATAATTAATCACTTTAAAGTTATAAGAAATTCTTAATTTCCAAGGAAGTTTGTTAAATAAATACAAAAACTTGGTTGCACCGTCTCTTTTGTTTCACTCGCCTTGTGCGTCATCTATCATTCTTTTTTACTTTTTCGAATATAAAGGTGACAAACTAATCCTAGCCTAATATATGTTGCCATCAACAATTCAATCTTTCAAACAAAATTTAAATATAGATAACTGATGTAATTTTTATTATGGGACAATAATTTTTAGATATATTATAAAAACCTAGAATATACAGAAAGACGTATGATATTATTAAAAACCCGTATAAATGCATATGATATTATAGACCATTATAAAAGTCGAGACAATCATATTTAAAATTTCTTAGATATTAAATTTTACCACAACAATGCATGTAACATATCATCATTGGTCACATGACCATCCAAGTGCCATAAAACTCAAATAATCGAACATTCAAGGAAGGCAACTCAAATAAACCGTAAGTTGCAACGCACACTGCATTCTAATATTAATAGGTCTCTTAGATATATAACATAGCAAATTGATAAGTCACAAGCCCTTCAAATATACACAAACATTGTGAGCCATTTAACCGAACAAAGGCCACCAATAAAATGGGCAGTATCTAGAACTTGCAAGTCTTAGATACTCAGAAGAAAACCTAATTTAGTTTGGAGGAAGAAGCCCTTCTTGTTAAAACCATGATACAAAAAGTGCTTGCAGATAGTCTTTTGTTCCTTTTTCCCGCTATTTAATTTTACTGTAAACAAGATTATTGTTGAGAATTTTGCTGATTCCCAATATCCTCTCCTCTGTTTGATCAACCAAAAAGTTATGAACATTAGTAATACCAAAAGATGATGATATCAAGAAAAGCAAGTAGATCTTAATTCAGAAACATACCTAAGTCATCAACCTCCAGTAGTGAAGCTTCCAGATTCCTCTCCTTTATCTCGATCTCTGCGCGGAAATGTCTTAAGGTGTTAAGAGTATCTTGAATGCTTTGTTTCACTGTAGCCACTTGATCAGAGACTGAGCAAGATTCGGGTTGCTTGCGCTGAAAGTTAGTGTTGGATCTGTTTGAAACCCTAGTGCGTCCTCTCTTGCTCACTTCTGCAGTGTTTTCCACAGTGCTTCTCCTCTTACGAGTTGTTATTTTTTCTTTTCTCTTGTTTTCAATCTGAAACGTAACTCAAGAAACATTTTTAGCTTCTCTAATAAAAGTTTTAGCTCCAAGGTTAACTAAACAAGCCAAAAAGCTACCTTAGAGTGGAACTTAAAGATAGGGTTAGCATCTTCAAAAATCAACTCCAACATGAATGAGTCATTCACTTCAACACCATTTGCTTTGCACATCTCTTTCCAACCTTTTCTGATATAAAACATTTCATTTCCCCGTGGTCTTGACACCTGTAGATAAGATGACCACTTTCTTCCATCTTGATTCAGCAAAGTTATCTCCCCAGACTCATTAATGCCATTCTCACGCAAGAAAACCAATGAAACAGTCTGACACAAGTTTCATAATTAGTAACGATTAGACTCTACAAAATCATGACTACATCCACCTAATCAAAGTTACAAACACTTACTAGTTGCCCGGTCTTTAAACGGTTGGGTGTACACTTTAGTGTCAAAAATCGAGGAGTATTCTTCTCGTTGCTGCAGCCTCCTACAGAACATATCTTCTCTGTATCTGCTTCAGGGCATTCTTCTTCTTGTTCTCCTTCTTCTTCTTCTTCTTTGTCTTCATGGCCATTGCCAGACTCGTGTGAACACAGCAAAAGCATAGGCAATTCTCCACCTTCGGAAAGTTTGAAGTTACAGATGTCACCTTGACTTAACCCATTAGCTGAGCAAAAGTTAGCCCAGCCTCGTCTGATGTAAAACACACCACTTGAGATGTTTCTTGCAAGAATAAGAGTCCATTTTCTTCCTTTCTCATTAGCTAAATAAATTTCACTCGGTTTGTTTTGCTCATCAAACGACATAAACTTAAAAGCTCTAGAAAGATCCTGAACAAATAAAAACATTAGCAATCAATGGTGGAATACATGAGCATATCACTTATAGTATGGAACCCAAAAAAAGAGTCGAATAGTCTCACCAAACGATCTTTCTTGAGGCTATAACGTGAGACATGAGCTTTGAGTAAGCAAGAGTCTCCTGTTGAAGTCTCTGCTTCAGGTTTCTTATTCTTTTCCACCACTATGTCCCCTGAATCACAACAATCTTCACTTAAGAGTGCACGACCAAACCTAAATAAACCCCAAAAAAAAACATATTAAACAGCTTACCTGCATCATCAACATCATCAACAACATCTTCATCATTATCTTCTTCTTCCACATCATGGGACTCATCAGATTCACTGTTGTCAGTATCATCAGACTCATCAGAGTCACTGTCGTCAGTATCATCGGTCTCATCAGATTCATTTGAAACAGCTACATGAAAGGTCTCATCTCCATTGTGTCTGAAAACCAAAACGTCTCCATCACTGAAATTATGAGCGGCGGCGAACTCTTCCCAGCCGCCGGCGAGTTTTTTTCCGTCCACTTTCACTTTCCAAAATTTGTCCGAGGAGTCTGATGTTAGCAAGACTTTCGTGTGGTTACGTAAGAACTCATCATCAAGCTTCTGCAACATCAAGAAAAAAATGAAAAAAACAAACAAACAAACAGCTTTTTAACGATGACAAAGTCAAGAAGAAGAACAAAACAAGATAATATGCATTTTTTTACCAGAAGTGGTTTGTCTCCGGTAAGAAATCTCAAGTGAAACAGAGAGGGTTTTGGAGAAAGCGCCATTGTTGAGGAGAGAGTGAGAAGGCAAAAGGAAACTCTGTTTTCTTAATAATAATATTTCTTCTATAATGTCAGGATGACGTTATACTATCTTCTTCTCTATATAGTTACGTTACATCAATAGTAATATCGAATCTATAAAAATTAGGGAATTTGCATCAGATAACTATAGAAACATAATATATTAGGTATATGGAAAAGCACTGTTACATTTTGAATAATACCACCGATGCCCCTAAGTCTAGCAAAGGCTACGTCTGACGAGATATATAATTTTACATCATACACGCGCCTAAGTAATTATGTGTATTTGTAAAGATAAAGAAATGTTTTATACAGAAAAAGACTGCAAGAAACGGAAGTTTTAAGTAAACCTTCTCTCTTCCAGGAAGAGAAAAAGCAATAAAAGTCGATTTATGTGTAGATCTGAAAGCATAAAGTAATTTTTCCAGAAAAATGGTGGCTTCGAAGATCGTCGACATACCTGATCCACCTGAATCCGGCGATAGTTTGGCGATTCCGGAAATGATGTTCGCACATGGTGAAGAACCTGTTGGGGTTAGGGTGCTAACTTACCAATCTTCTAGAGCCATACACTTTATTTTGAATGCTCTTGACGAAGATGAGGTTCAGAGGATTCGGGAATCAGCGTTTGGGAAGCTTGTTGAAGTTGCTGAGAAACATGCATTTTCGGGAAGATTTATAAGGTATTTATTATCTCGCCAAATGAAAGTAAATAAGAAGCATGAAGTGTGGTTCCGGTTTGCTGGTTTTTTTTAATATCCTGGGGAGGTTTCATAGCAACTACTGTCCTTATCATCTACTCGTTGAAGCCGTAGATCTAATGTTTCTAATGTGTAATGTTTAAAATCTATGTTTTCTGTGTACTATTTAAGTTTGTCCGGGTATGTATGAACCTACTGTTTCGAAGAAGTTCTAATCTACGTTGTTACATGTCTTAATTAATGCAATTACCTTAATTTCGTGTGTTATGACATATGTTGGCCTAATAAAATAGTTATACACCTGACTTACATAATTTATGTAGATTTAAAATTGTGGCATATTGTACCAGTTTGTAACAAATGAGAGAAACCATAAATGTCTTACGACTATTACAATTGTTTGCTAAATTACACTTCAAATGACGTAATCTTCGTCCGACAACCCTCTGACAATATCTGTATATAAATCTGTATACAGTACTGCACGTAGGCGCGTAGCACGTCCATGAGGGCNATTGTGGCATATTGTACCAGTTTGTAACAAATGAGAGAAACCATAAATGTCTTACGACTATTACAATTGTTTGCTAAATTACACTTCAAATGACGTAATCTTCGTCCGACAACCCTCTGACAATATCTGTATATAAATCTGTATACAGTACTGCACGTAGGCGCGTAGCACGTCCATGAGGGCTGTTTTGGCAACCCAAACCCAACATTATACCAAATCTGCTAATAAATTCAAAATCTGCACACTTACCTAATTACCGGCCACAATTTGTATATCCAGCTAATTGGGCCTAAAAATTATTAAAGAGTGATGTGAATCTTTCACATTTTGTAAGATACATCATCTTTTTCTTACACAACTTTTTTTACTCATCCATCCATCTATCAAACTCCCACTCTTATTATACAGCAACAAGACTGCCCTAGGTTTTTGTCAGAATAGGTTTTGTTACTTTCTTGGCATTATTTTAGTTTGATTATTAGTTTACTATTTTTTAACTAGTTTAATCTTAAAACCAGAAGCTGTACCTACCTGAGCGTCCAAAATTTGTTTTTTTTTGGGCCCAACTTACTGAAATGGAGCACAAGTTGGGTTTACTATTGGACAGACACATATCTTAGCCCTTTGATATGAAAAGCTGATAAACAATCAAACTTTTAATCCAACAAGTCTAGAAGCGCACAAAAGAAATGAGAACTTCTGGTCCGATTCGGTTTGCACATCAAATATGTCATTTGTGCACATCAAATGAGAACAGACCGATGTATTTATGTTGATGAAACAACGTTATTGTACTATAATATCTACATGTTTTAGAAGACTTATTACCAAAAGTTGAATTTGTAATGGTCAGACAATTCAAATATGGTAAACCATGGATTTTACTTTTGGACTATAAGAACTGTAATCAACTAAAAGAACAACTTTAATCAAATAAATGAATATTGAATGATTGTTATTGTATCCACTAATTATAATCATGAAAATAAATATTGCTAAAGTTAGAGAGTGTAAAGCAATGTATGTGGAAAGAAATAATAACATAGTTCAAAGAATATCATTATTGTCAAGTGCTCATTAATAATCATCCATCAATATAAACATAATCGATCAACTTAATATATGCATTATTCATACCCGGAGCTAAACTGGATAGATTTTAAACACACAGTCAATCAAATATAGTGTGTCACATCCAATAATTTGCGAATAATTATTTACCTAGATTGTCATAGCTGTGTTACTAGATACTTATAATTCAAATTAAAATCATACTAATTACTGACTTTTTTTGTAACACTACTAATTTCTGACTTTATATTAGAAAATTTTCAAACTTCCATTCGCCATCCACATCATGAATGTTCAAATACCATATCACCCGTTAGTTTGTGTACCGATTTGTAGATGGCTCAAACAAAACAGAGCTTTTAGTACCAAGTAAAACTATAAATCCACCAAGTTAATTACAGCTAAACATTATAAATTTTTAAAATCATCTCTCTTTTTAGCTGTTACTTTTCTTTTCGATTTTATATAATACTTTTGTATAACGTTAGGTATCGTATAGTAAAAAAAAACCTTAAAAATGCTAAAGAATATTCTTATCTTCTAGAGTTCTGCTGCATGTCTTTGTATCGCCACCGACAAGTAACTCGCGTAACTTAACATATGGCTGAAACTTTCCGAATTTTACAAATTGAAAATAAAAAGTTGCGATTATCATCCATTCTAATGAATCATACACCTCTTTTTGCCAAAGAACACACCACACTACTCTACATTAACTTTTGTTTTACAAAAGGCCCACAATTAAGTGGCAATATTCGAAAAGTTTCTTTCCAACTAATATCACACTATTAGTCAACTAACACTTGTTTAACAAAGTACGCCCTCTCTCGATTGTTATTGAACGTTGATAATTAATCACACACAAAGATCATAACTGAATGTTTACCTACTTACTAATTAGTGATTAACATTATAATGGTGGAAAGCCACCACCCACCACATATATGTATGGTCTTCATAACATTCCCGTTAAAATTATAAAGTTGATGACGCTTGGTACAAAACACAATCATCTAACCTGAATGGACTACTCAATGTAAGAAAATTATGAATAAGAAAAATATGTATAAAAATGATAAAATCAAATATTAATGAAACTATGAACGCACATGGAACGTGACATGGGGGGAACACGTATACGAAGCGGTGAGAACAGTAGAGTGATTCACTTGGAACCGATTTGCTATCTTCTAAAACTTGTTCCAATCTAAGTAGTTCATCTCACAAATTTGAATTTGTCTTCACCTCAAATTGCCAAACAACGAATATATGGTCCATCCATCAATAAATTTTTCCTCTTAATTATTTCATTTTCTCAAAGATCTAATTTTTATTTTGACATGACAAGTGCTATCGAAAGTAACAGAAGTGTGATAAAAAGGGGATGAATTTGCATGCTGAAGCCATCAAAGGAAGTAGCTGAACAAAAGTTACACACACATGAAAGTGTTAAGACAGATCTCACAAGCTTCACATATACCTTTCTTCTCTCTCTCCCTCAAAGCCAAGTATTTTACTCTCTCTCTCTTCTCTTCTCTCTGAGTCACTCCACTCTCTCACCAAACACATCTCTCTCTCTCTCTTTGTCATTCTCCTAAAAAAGGTCCACTATAAATGAGGGTTTGAGCTGTGGGATGCTTCTTTGTCTGGTTTTATAAATAAAAACAAAAAAATGGGTCTCTAGATTTCTGATTTCCTGGATCTGGGTCTTGCTTTATCTTCCATTATCTGCTAGAAAGCTACCTCCTTTCTTCCAGATTTACTCAAAGAAGCTCCAAAGGTGCCGTTTTTTTGAGTTTTCCTGAAATGGGTTTTGCTTAAATCTTCGTCCATTTTGAGATTTGGGTCTTTCTTGTAGTCCTTACCACATTAAGAAATTGAACTACTTTACAGGGAAAGGCAAGGATGGCTCCAAGGTTGGATTTTTCAGATTGGTGGGCGAAGGACACGAGGAAAGGAACACCAGTCGTTGTCAAAATGGAGAATCCAAACTACTCTGTTGTCGAAATCGAAGGTCCAGATTCAGCCTTCAGACCAGTGGAAAAGAGCAGAGGCAAGAACGCTAAGCAAGTTACTTGGGTCTTACTTCTCAAAGCACATAGAGCCGTTGGTTGTCTCACTTGGTTCGCTACTGTCTTCTGGTCTCTCCTTGGTGCCATCAAGAAACGTCTTAGTTTCACTCACCCACTTGGCTCTGAGAGATTAGGAAGAGACAGGTGGCTTTTCACAGCCATTAAGCTCTTCTTAGCTCTCTCCTTGTTGATTCTTGGGTTTGAGATTGTTGCTTACTTCAGAGGATGGCATTACTTTGAAAGCCCCAGTCTTCACATCCCTACTAGCACTCTTGAGATCCAGAGCTTGCTTCATCTTGTCTATGTTGGTTGGTTAAGCTTAAGAGCTGATTATATTGCTCCACCAATCAAAGCTCTCTCCAAGTTTTGTATTGTGCTCTTCCTTATACAGTCTGTAGACCGTTTGATTCTTTGCTTGGGCTGTTTCTGGATCAAGTTTAAGAAAATCAAGCCGAGGTTTGATGAGGAACCGTTCCGTAATGATGATGCTGAGGGATGTGGTTATGTTTATCCAATGGTTCTTGTTCAGATACCAATGTGCAATGAAATAGAGGTATGTTTATTCATTGACCTTTCTGTAGCCTCTTTTTGGCTATTAATGTAATGATGTTTGGTCTTGTT